CAGAGTGGGGAACAGAACAGGCAGATCGATGAAGTACACTGCTGAGGGGAGCAGCGGGCGGGTCAGGGGAGGTCTGCCGCGCCATGTGGATCTCCTCCGGGGCAGGCAGGAATTGAACTCATGAGGAAGTGACTTTAGCTTCTCAGTGCTGTGCTTTAACCCACTGCACCACCAGGGAGGGCCAAGTGTTGTTAATTTTTGATAAAACATTTACAAAGGTAAATGTCAATATTTCTTCATTATATCCAAGATATATTCCAATGATAGTTGATTAAATTGCCCTGCCTTCTAGTAATTATAAATTCAGCTATTTTTAAATCTGTCATTCCATCCCTAGGTTTGTGTACACACACATACTTATCTGTGTTTAAGTCAATATGATTGATCTATTATTTTTAACAGCTATTACATTCATCCCATTGCTTAAATTCTGGCATGTTTTATTTGAAGTTTCATTATTTATAATGTGTATCTATTCAGTTTAAAATTGTTAGCAAAAAATATCTGTGATAATGGGTTGTATTCACAGTATTACCTAAATTGTTTTCATTGTCCAGTCAAAAACAATTTTGATGATTCAAAATTTTAGATGCCCTGATATTTCTACTTTTTTGAAATGTGTTAAAACCTTTAAAAAATAGAGATTTAATGTATTTATGCTATAGAACTGGGATAAAGGCCAAAGGTGTAGTGGGTGAGAGGACTCATCAGACAGAGTGGGGAGCAGAACTGACTGACGAAGTACACTGCTGAGGGGAGTAGTAGGCAAAAACAGGAAAGGTCTGCCACACCATGTGGGTCACTTCCCTCCAGGGGCAGGGATTGAACTCGGTCTGTAGTGGCTTCGGAGAGCTTCATAATGCAGTACTTTAACCCACTGTACCACCAGGGAGAGCCTTAAATCTCTATATTTTAAGGCCTGTTCCATAACTAACTGAACATTTGATATTGCCAATAGTCATATAATAGAGAAGCAGGTGTTTTTATTATACCATCATCATTATCACTAGTTTACTACAAAATATACACTTTTATTTCTTAGAACTCAAGAGAGATCTGGTCAAAGACATCACCTCAGACACTTCTGGAGATTACAGGAAGACCTTGCTTTCTCTTGTTAAGGTATACCTCAAATATTTTAGGGAATGTCTTTTTTTTAAGAATAATAAATTTTAAATTTAAACTTTTTCTGGAAAGGATCAATTGACTCTTTCTCAGAGGATATTATTTAACTGCTTTTAAAAGAAAGAAGTTAATCTTATGATCACATGCTTGAAACAACTTACAAGAGAATCATTTTTTCAGGGTGACCGAGCTGAGGATGTTGGCATGAGTGAAGATTTGGCCGATACAGATGCCAGGGTGAGTAAGTGCTCACAAATACTCCTAGAGTTGATTTTCTTACCTGAAACAAGTCTTACCTTCAGCAAAGTAGACACTTGATAGCCTCTAGGTAAAGGCAAATGGAAAATCCTCTGAGGCCATTGTTGGCATCTAATGTTCATTCCTTAGTTGATGGGACCACCCTGTACTTGAGCAGCCTAAGAGAGAAAAATGTGTTTTTTACATTTCAGTAGGTCTCATTCACAAAACCAGAGAGAAATAAAAGAACAATGAGAACTTAATTTATCATTTCCAAAAATTGTTTTATAAAATGAAAATTCAAAGTTTTCTCAACAAAAGTATTTTTTTAATTTGTGAAATGAGAATAAATACTCATTCCTTTAGCAATAAACATTATAATACTTTATTGATATAGATTTATATTGTAAAAGTATGGTCATGATATAATTATGAAATAAATTTTAATGTATTAAAATATGTTCAAGTGTATTTTTACATATAGTTTATAGGGAGGTCACCAATTATTTACCAATCCAGTGGCAACATTACAAAAATAGTGACCTTTTGGGACACGAAATTCCTTTTAAAAAAAGTTTTTATGTTTTCTTCATGGGCCAATATTCTCTCCATTAACTGATCACAATACAGCTGTGAGGATAAAATGTATTTGTCCACCCCTGCACTCCCTTAATTAAGCCAGCACAGAATTTTCCCTATATTGTTAGGTACCGATCAACTTTGTGTTGAGTAAAAACATTCATATCATTTTGTTTAAAAAACCCAAAATAACTTTTTGTGTCCATTGGAAGCTTGACCATTTTGTAGAAATTGTGCAAATACATAAAAAGACAAAAGTCAACATTTGAGTCATTCATTCCCCATAATAAATAATTACTCTCATTACTTGTGGCATGTTAGAATTTGCTTTCCATTTTCAGTCTGTCAGGGTTTTAGCTCTATGTTTAAGGCAGCTACATGGATTAGTGTGACCCAGGAGGCTGATGGTAATTAGCATTTCAAAGTTAACAGATTATGCTTGTGATGGACAATCAGAGGGAAATATGCAGTTTCAAAAATCACTTTATCCAAGGTTATATTCAAGATCTAGGGAATGATTGGATTATTGATCTACTAGCGTCATTTTCTGGTAATTACTTTAAAGAGAAAAATAAACAAGTTTTTACAGTTTCCTGTAGTTGTCTTGCTACAGAGAACAATCATAATTCGATTTAATACATATTCTGTAAATATAATTTCATTCTCTAATGTTCGCAATGTACCTTGAGACATATATTAGAAATACTTACAAAAAGAAATAAGGTCCTGATGTTTAAGGAACTTGCAAATGTAGGTTAGCCTATCCTCATATGACTGGACACAGTGCCTCTGAGATCTTTGTGTTGCTATGAAGTCAGCAGATAGTCAAGTGTTTGCTTCTGTGGTTCTTGACAGGCCTTATATGAAGCAGGAGAAAAAAGGAAAGGGACAGATGTGAATGTGTTCAATACCATTCTTACCACCAGAAGCTACCCCCATCTCCGCAGAGGTAAGAAAAATCATGTTTCCTTGGACTTGCCTATGGAAGATTAACTTTTTTTTTTGTTAGTACAGATAAGGGAAAAAAGAAGTCAGCTTCACAGCAACAACTAATAAGTGTAGCGCTCTTAACCCCTTACTTCTGCTTTTTTTTTTTTAATACATTTTGTACAGTCACCATTTTATAATATTTGAAACCTATTTTGTGACTTAGGGATGGAAGCCATTCTTTCATTATTTTTCTATTCTTACTGTCCAAAACTACTTTGGAGATACACACATTCAACAAATCACATGAAACTGCAACAAAAATATAGTCTTAGCTAAGTGAAGAAAAGAATACATAGATGTTCCAGGGCGGGGGTGGGGAAAAGTTTTTGCCTTTGAGCACAAAACTTGACTCTAAAGTTTCTGGAGACAAAGGAAATATTATTTCATTATAGCACATTGTTTCTAATGTTAAAATTAAGAGAGATTTACTACATGATTCTTATATAAGGGAAGAGCCATTTGCTCTAGTACTTAGCTCTGCTATATTAATATTATGGTTGTCAATCACATGCCATTTGTAATAAATGTCAACCCTTGCAAAAATTTCTCCAAAATATATTGGAGCACGAAAATAGTAATGTCAGTTCCACTCTAGAAGACGATGAAATAGCCAATGTAGCCTCAGCTAAGTTATTAATACTAAAGGGTGTTTTAAGTTCGGGCATACCAGGGAATGCTTTTTGTTGCCCTGGATTTTGCTAAAGTTTTAAAGATTAGGATGCTTTGAACATGCCTTCACTTAAATTTAATATTCAGTGTTTCAGAAGTATGGCAAGTACAGTGAGCATGACATGAACAAAGTTCTGCAATTGGAGATGAAAGGCGACGTTGAAAAATGCTTCCAAACTATTGGTATGTAGTCCCAGAGGGGAAGACTATTTTTACTTAAAATTGAACTATCAATGGTTTCCCATATTTATATCTATTTATCTAGATAGATAAAACCAGAAATTCAGATATTGTTCATCTGTGTTTCAGATACAGACAACAATGTAAGATAATGTCTGAATATTTAGCTGAAGACATACAATGATCTTGTTTGTTAGCAACAGATATTACTCTCTTTTTCAAAAAGATGGGCAGGTGGGGAATCTTTAGTGGACACTTTCTTATGCCAGTCGATGCACCTGGCTGAGACTAGCACAGAGGAAAGTCACAATGATCATTAGGAGCATGAGATCAATGCAGATTCAAATCCTGGTCTGTGACTAATTGGACAATTGTGAGTAAATGCATAAGGTTTTGCTTTGTAAAACTCCCCTCAAAAGGACTTAAGAGGAAAAGGTGTTAAAGATCTGTCATTCAGGCGACCAATGGGAGCTGGGAACCTGCATTGTAAAGTGTTCCCCAAATATAAATAAACATTCTGATTGGGCTTCTGCATTTCTAACAAAGTCCCAGTTGCTGTCAGTTCTTTTGACCCATGCATCACAGTACATAATAAGGTGGGCAATCTTAGTGAACAATTCATGTTAGTGTTTAACTTAGCAGCGGACTCATTTAAATCCTGTCCTTGTCTGCTTAAAAAGATATTTCAGTATGTCCACATGGCTTTTAACGCCCACTGGTTTTCCAATGGAAGAGAAGTGCCTACTCAAGATAACAATTGACATTGCTATTGGGTGGATTTAAGATAATAGAAGATAGGTGATGTCAGGAGTGAATAGAATCTTGTTAGCCAAACTTTCCTGTTTCTTTCATATGCATTTTCTTGTGTTGTGGTAAACATGTGTCTCTTCCCAGTGATGTGTGCCACAAGCAAGCCAAGGTTCTTTGCTGAGGAGCTGCATCGTGCCATGAAGGTAATATTGTACTCATGTGCATTGCTCGGGGGGCCATTCCTGGTTATGCAGGGAAGGGCAGAATATTTCATAGTGTTTGAAAATTGCTTTTAATAGCCTCCATTAAAAAGAATCATCGTTCCATCCAGTAATATACTTCCTTATTAGAATGAAATTCTGTTGAATTTATTGTAAGGTGAGCTTGTAGGAAAGTTGTGGGTTACTTATTTTCATAAAACCTAGTCAGTAGAGAAAGAGCTATATATACTTTCTCTTTTAATGTGTGCTGTTAGTAATTCTGCTAAGGTGGTGCGTTTTACAACTGCTCCCTTTTTTACCTTTTGTCTTTATTATTTTGGGATTCATCTGCCATTCTAAGACTTTAAAATGTCATTGTAAGATTACTAAAGTAAAAGATATCATTAAAATGTACTTAATGTACCACTTTATTATCAAGCATGCGAAGTGTGGTATAAGATGCCTCCTGCATTATGTACTATATTAAGAAAAGTCTATACTCCAAAATAATTCTTCAGAGAGATAGCTAACCAATTGATAGGAAAAGAGTCCCTGTAAAATGTGCCACTATAATGTGGGCAGTGCCATGCCTGATCTCAATACAGGCGTGCTGCACTCTAGTGGGGCAGTTAGATGGGTCATGATGAATGCCCAGTATTGTTGAAGGGAAGTGAGCCTAGCACACCAGACTTTGGGAATCAATATATTTTTGCTATCAGTTAACTTAGATCTGGCAATGAACAGGAATTAGCCAGAGTAGGGAAGGGGTCGAAGAGCTAGTGGAATGACACTCCTGGTTTTAAGAGAAGGAGGCAGCATGACATTCAGTATAACAAAGATAATGATAATTAGTGTGATGGTGCCTGGGGGGGAAGAAGAGGGTGAAGAATTAACCAGGCCATTGTAAATGGGGGTGGGGTGGAAGTGGTTTCGATCTTACTTTGAAAGCAACAAGAGACCACTGAAGGGTTTTTAAATTGGTGAATCTAAACAGATTAGATGATCTGTTTTGCAACTTAGAAAATTCACTGAATTTGTAATTTAACAGTTAATATAAAAGACTGGATAGTACAAGACTGACTAGGAGTTGATGTAGCAGTTGGTTCTTGTCAAAAGTTTCTATAAAGTATATAAATGAACAAAAAACTTCTCATTCAAACACATAACCCTGCTTTAAGTGCATGCTCCGAATGTGAGAAACACTTCCTATTATTTGTTTTAACAGGGTTCTGGAACTCGTCATAAGAAATTGATCAGAATTATGGTTTCCCGTTCTGAAATTGACATGAATGATATCAAAGTATACTATCAGCAGTTGTATGGAAAATCTCTCTGCCAAGCCATTCTGGTACGTTGTGATTTTCATGATACTACCTGCACAAATGAGTTTCTTTTTGTAACTTCTTCAAAGAGAAAGCTTAGAGTGGCACATATAAGATTAATTTGTTATGTTAGATTGCATAATTTATAAATAAAACTTTCTTTGGTAATTCTACTCATAAGTTATATTCTGACAAACTATATAGATTTTTCATAAGTCAGAAATATGTGCTTTCACATAAGCAGACATATCAACTGAACTATTTTGAGAGAGATACATTTTACAATAAAGATGATCAAAGGATTAGAAATGTATTATACTGGTTTCCTTTAATCTTGTTCATATACCATATGTCAGACATGTAAAATGCATGTTCAAATTCTTATGTTAAAAAAGATAAACACATGAACTTATTGAAAGAAAATTCAATTTCTTATGTGACAGCTATAATTTATCAAGAAAAAGGGAGAAAGTTACATATATTTAACTTTCTGGTGAAAGAGGCATCTATTTCTTACTGTGAAATGAAATTAGATTGTGTTATATTTTTATTTTTATAAAATAGTGATTATATTCATATATAATATAATCCATCTGTATTTTAAAGCTATTGCTTTTTCTATAATAATCCTAAATATCTCTTATATTAATTATATTGTTTAAGTGTTTTTTTTTTTTTTTAATTAAAGATCCTAGGTAGTTGGGGCAGTGTTTTCCAATAGCTACCTTACTGGTGCAATAATTCCTCTGTACTTAAAATTACCTTATATTGATTATGATGCCAGTATCATTAACACTTTCATTTTTAATCAACAGGATGAAACTAAGGGAGATTATGAAAAAATCCTGGTGGAACTCTGTGGGGGAAACTAAGCATTCCTTTGATGATCTCAACTTTTTGACCACAAGATTTTTTCATCATTATCTTTTCATTCCGTATCATAGACCTAAGTAAGAAAGTTTATTAAAGAGGATTACAGTCTAGCTGCCTCCTAAAAAATATAACCTATAAGTCATTTTTTATCACAACTCTGTATAAAGAATGTTTTTGTTAAGTATGTTTACCGATAAACTATACACTTCCTTAAACAGATTGTTCTAGTAACATCACCTGACAAGGATGTTTGTGTAGCTGAAAATAAAATGCTTTTTTAAGACAATTGGTATGTCATGGCTTCATTTGTTAGATTTCCTTCGGGTATAATACAATAGCTTAATTTGATGTCAAGGAATAGGAGCCTGAATCCTAAATTGCAATATTTAATGAAGTGGATTTTGCACGTTAAATTATAGGAAATTTTCACAGTTAGTAAGTGTGTTGCCTGGGTAAATTCGTTTACCTGGGTACAGTTGGATTTATTGCACTAGTACACTAACAATGGTACATTCATCTATATATTTCATGAAGCAGTATTAAGGTGACAATACTAAATAGTTTCTCACATTCTAAAAAGCGGTATTCACATATTTTATTTTCTAAGAAACTACCAAACTCATCTAGAGTAGGGCTATACCATTTCCTAATGTAAATGTACAAGTGATTAATTTTTCCAGTCATGGCCATATTTGGTTTTATCACTATTTTATATTACAGCAACATTTAGTTTTTATCGTCAAGGTTTGAGGATTCTGAATATAGTCAAGACATTAGTACTTTGTTAAAGATGTGACTTGAAAATATTTTCTTTCAATCCAGTTTCTTTTGATCCTCTTAATGAGTCTCAGGACAAATATTTTAAATTTTAATGAGATCCAGTTTTTCTTTTATTTGTGTTTTTGGTGTCAAGTCTACAAACTATCCTGAAAATTATCTCTTCTTTCTTTCCCTAACATCTGTGTAGTTATTAATTTTCCATTTGTGGTTCGTCTTGAACAAATTTATGTGAAATATATTTTTTTAGATCAAAGGTCTTTTTTTCCCCACCACTTATGCATTCCTAAATGCTCCTATGCTGTTTTATAGGTGGTTATCCTTCCTTTTAATTACTTTTGTACTTTACAAAAAATTACTTTTCTCCGAGAATGTTCTTAGCACACAGGTGATGAATTAATTTATTCACTCCCAAAAGAACTCAGCTTGGTATTTGAATTTCTGACTTAGTCATGATTGGCCTAAAACATTGGTTTTCAACCAGAAACTACTTTGCCTCCCAGACATTTTAAGACAACGGGAGTCATTTGAGGCTTAAGCAATTGAAGATGTGAATTACTGCCACCTAGTGGTAAGAGACAGTTCTGCGGAATTATACTGCCTGACACTCAATAGTGCCATTACAAAAAACCTGTTCTAAATCAATTCCTGGATGTTGGGCACAGTGTGCCCCAAGAAAAATTTGGTTTTATAATCAAGAAATGGGGGACACGAAGGGAAAAAATCAATAAAATATTTACTACCATCTGTCCAAATCTTCCCCTCTAATAGTTAAAATATTGTTCAGATTCAAATTCATTTTAGGCAGAATGTTAATAAGTTGTCCTGTTTTCAGTTTGTGTGTGTATGTACTTTTTTAGTAAGAAAAAGGTTTTGAAATACATATGATAACTATCCAAGCCAACCACTTTGCCCAATTCATACTTCTTTAGAAAGAAAATCTGCTAGTTTTTAAACAGCACATAAGCATGAAATAAAAACAGTATTAGCTTATAATTAGAAACAGATGGTTTAGATTTACTAATCTAAGTTAACTATCAGTCCTATAATGATAAATGTAAATTAAGAATTTTAAATGCATTTTTTGGTAACACACAATGATCACTCTTACTTAAACCCCAGGAAAATCAGAAGTATAAAATATTTTCAAAGAGTTTCTATAGGTGTTAGCTCAAGTTGCCCTCGAAATTAAGAGGTTAGTCTCTCCACTTCTATATGAAGAAACTAAGGCTCAGAGGAATGAAAGTTGTGTTAAGTGTCTCAAAGATAAAAAGTATCTGGACCCAGGAATTCTCCAAGTCAAACAGTCTTGATTCATTTTGTGTTCTGTATTATTCAATGAGGGCAATTTAAGCATAATATTATAGTAAAAGTATTGGGGGTGAGGGATGGTATTTAATTCTAAAAGAACCAAAGCTTTGAAAAAATCTTCCAAATATTCTTTCTTGCCACTTACAAGATTTTTTAAAAAATGTATTTATTGACTAATGTCACTGTATCTCACTCTCCCTTTTTCTCTACCTCCACTGGCAACCAACCCTTTAATATTTATCTCTAATTACATCATTTTCCTTAAGATATTTTTTGACATCAAAATCAAACACATAGTTTAACTGTTTTCAGTTTGTAAGAATCTGGTTGAATACAAAGATGTGTACTTTGACTGAATTAAAGAATTTTATTTTACTGGATTAAGCTTATAAGAGCTGAAATTCCTGCCATAAGAAATCTGCATTTCTCTCCACTTGGTACTTCTTTTCATAAAATAATAATGGCAAAATTAAAAAGACTGCTACACTAACTGCAAAACACAAGTAATGGTGGTCTTCTTAAATGTAGATCTGGTCATTACCAGCACTGTTTCTGTTTCTCTCTCTTTGTCTTCATTCATAAACAAAAGCGTTCAAGACTCCCCAGAAGTTGTGTTCATGTTCTTGGTTATGAATTAGTACTGACACACAGCTTCACTATGGTGATGAGTGCTATCCAATCAAAGCTATCTTAACCTTTTGAGTGACATGGTTTTTTTTTCTTTTTTTATCTAATGATATCTAATTGTGTCTATTAACTTTCAATGTACAGAGCTTGGTACATTCTAAATTAAAATTATTTCTTATAGAAAACCCAGTAGTTTGAAGAAATAATTTAAATGCTTAGCGTAGGACAGTATTATTCTAGAAGTAATTGCTCAGTGGTTGATTGATTAAATCTCCTAGAAACAAAACTGGGTAACTGGATGTGCATATGCTGACATAAAACAGAAGGCTCTACAGCTCAAATGCCAGGTGTGTGAGTGTCAGTTAGGGTTTGGATGCAGACAAGGGAAACTGATGGGTCAACTAATGAAAGAAGAATTAATAAAAAGGGCATGATGAATGTGTTAGTGTAAAGGACTGAAAATGGGTAGAAGATTGAGTCCAGTCTTAGAAATAAGCAAGAAACCTGGCCACTCTGTAGGGATAAGAAGCAACAAGAAAAGTTATTTTCTTAGTCTATTAAGAAAAGTCTAAAAAAAAAAAAAAATTTAAAAAAAAAAAACAAAAAGGCCCTCCCTGG